GTACAAAGTTCAAGGTGGTGTATTTAGTTTGTCTTACGTTTTCATTTATATAGAAATATAGGATAAAATACTATTCATGTAACTCGAAACTAACACGATTTGTTTCATATGAATACAAATGTGTATTTTATTAATCTCAATAAAAAACTTCATTTTTACGTAAAGCACGTAATCCAAAAATGACACGACTTGTCTCACGTGAAGACACAATTTCCTTTTCTTTCGTCGTATATTTCATCAACCGCAACCAAAACTATATGATCAAATAAACCGCAACCAAAACTATATGATCAAATAATTCTCAGAACTTATGGGTAGAAGTAAAAAAAATATATATAGTAATATGTCAATGACACGTCGTGGACAAGTCAGACACAGTAGTGGATGACGTTATTTATATTATCAAATTGTTTGAACAACATATGATCAAATAATTCTCAGAACTTATGGGTAAAAGTAAAGAAAAATATATAGTAATATGTCAATGACACGTCGTGGACAAGTCAGACACAGTAGTGGATGACGTTATTTATATTATCAAATTGTTTGAACAACATATGATCAAATAATTCTCAGAACTTATGGGTAAAAGTTACATAAGCAAACTTGCCATAACTATTGCTTCTAAAATAACTTACTGTAATGCTCACACAATATAAACTAAATATTATTCTTCCATTAAACTTACAGTGAACAATCATTTATATCTAATAATAATTCCCTCTTCAAGAAAAACATTTAAAATATTTGTTTATATTATATACAAAAACTGTTTTCAACTCATACACAAAGTCTACTCATACAGTCTGCACTAATTTGTAGTCTCCTCGATGGCCTCAATGCGGAATCGATAGTTCTGGAGAAAAAGAGCCCACCTCATGATCCGTAAACTGTCACTTTTTCACCTCTGGATGTACACAAGGTGCTGATGGCCAAACACTCTCATATGATCACAGAGTAGTTCTTCTCACTACCCGACAACTTTTTATTTATGTACATGACTGAAAACAGTCCATCTTGATCTTGTAGGAGTATGTCTGAAGCATCGGCCTGAATGATGAAGAGTTTGTTGAAGTCTCGCATTCTAAGTATTGACAAATTTCCTACCATGTTCTTCAGCTTATGGAATGCCATCTCCTGTGAGTGTTCCTACTTCACCTAGTTGGGTAGGCCTTTCTTGGTCAGGTCAGTCAATGGTGCAGCAACTTCAGTGTAGTTTAGGATGAACTTCCGTAGCATCCTGCTAACCCCCTAAAATGATCTGACTTGCTCTTTGGTAATTGGAACTTGTATGTGGGTTTGCTACTCTTCTTGTATGGTAATCTGTTTGTTGACCACCTTGTGTCCAACAAAGTTCAGCACAGAATAACCAATGCAGCACTAAGATTGTCTAATGGTAAGACCTGCTGCCTTCAGTTGTCTGAACAGCTCTCTAAGTCTCTTTATTTGTCATTTCCACCTGGCTTTGTGGGTTAGAATATTGTCTACATTATGCTCTTTGTCGGTGGTTTAATGCAACATCTTCCTCATCAGGCAGTTGAATGTTGCTGCTGATTTGACTAACCCAAATGGCATCATCTTAAACTGGTAACATCCATCTGGTGTCACAAAAGATCTCTTTAGATCCTGTCTCCATCAGGATCTGCCAATAACTTTTACTGAGGCCAATCTTGGAAAAGAAATTGGCTCTGTCTAATTTTGCCATGATAGCCTCTGGGCTGTCCATAGATTCGGAGTCGAATTTCGTCATGAGATTTAGCTGGCCAGAAGATGCAAGACTGGTTCTCATTGGTACAGTGCTGCAGCCAGTGTCTCTTAGGATTTTCACCTTTTTGTTCCTAACATAGCCTTCACGTACTGTCATGTTGGGATTTGTTGGCATCTCTCTATGTTTGTCATATGCTCCAATCACTAATGGTACTGTTCATCTATTTGCTAACTTGAGCTGAGCACCAGTCATGCACTGTTTAATCATGGTTCTAGCACTTCCTTCTTGACGTAATTCTGACGTGTTATTTCCACTTTGTTTCTTCTGGCAGTGACATCCATGGTGTCAGTCACTCTTTTCTTATTTCTTGCCAGGGCTATCTCTGCTATATATTGAAATTTATGTTACTGCTTGTTGGTGGAAGACTTGCATTTTCTCGCAATGTTCCCCATTTTATAAAAAGGATAGCATCTCTTCCCTTTCCATTGAGATTTCTACTGTTGCTTGTTGGTGACAGACTTGCACTCACTTGCAATGTGCCCCCATTTTATAACAAACAAAGTATATCTTCTCCCTTCTGTTTTTCGACTTCTTGTCACCTTTGGTAGCATCCTGCTTCTGGTCATTCACCCCTGGTTTCGACTTTAACAGATTATTATTGGACTTGCCAGTTATACTCCCTCCATGGGCTTCCATATACTGTTCTGCTAGCTTGATCATCTCGCCCACGTCTTTTTTGTGTTCTCTCCTTTAAGAACAATGACATGTCATTTGAGCAAGTGATCATGAACTGTTCACATATTATTAGATCTGTCAGTCCTTCAAAACTATCTTCATACTTGGGAATGTCAGTCCATCTTGTGAAGTATCAGTGTAGATGTGCCACAAACTGAAATTCAGTTTCTCCAGTGTCACGTTTAGCTTTTCTGAATTTCTGGCGAAAGCCTTTCTTGGTAGGTCATAGTGTTTCAGTAACGCAACCTTTAACTTGTCATAGTCCATGGTAATTTCTGATGTCATGGCTGCATACATTTGTAGACCTTTTCCTGTGAGAAGTCGGCTGAAACAGATTGCTCTGTCGCATTTGTCTCAGTTCTGACTTTGGACAAATCGTTCATACCTCTCCAAAAAAGCACTTATGTCGTCTTTCTGTTTATCACATTTGAACAGCTTGGGTTGGCTGGCCCTGACTCCATTTTCATTCCTGGTTCCTTTGTCTTTCTGTTGGCTGAGCTTTGCGATCTCAATTTGTGCTTTTATTCTCTCTATTTCTAGCATCACTTTTCTTCTTCCTCAATTTGTGCTCTTATTCTCTCTATTTCTAATCTCCCCTTTCTCTCATTTTCTTCTCTCTCTTTTTGTGCTGTTATTCTCTCTATTTCCAGTCTCTCTTTTCTCCCATTTTCTTTTTTCTCTATTTGTATTATTATCCTTTCTTCCTCTCATCACTGTTGACACTCTTCTCTTTCTAGTTTTTGTTGTTGCTTAATAAACTCTCGTAGATCGCTATCTTTGAGCCCAAGCCGCTCACCTCTCTCTATCCACTTATCAAAGTCAGGGGACATGGTTATATAGCGCAGTTGTAATATCTACAATATTTTCGCCACCACTACAGCTGTGCATATATAGGCCTATTTCTGCTGTCTACTTCTACCGCCGTTTACAACTATATAATCCTGGCTGCCTCGCCAGTGTCAAGTTTTTAAGTATGTGTTAACAGGATTCATTACAGTAGGTGTCTGTGACTTGTTGGCGATACATTTCAACAATAAATGGACAGCACACAATCTACTTGTTTTAAAATGATATATTCAAAAGAAGTAAAACGTAATACAAATGTTCATTAGACAGTTAATCATTACAGCTGTATCCAGAGCTTTAAATAATCGTTTCTTTTCGTCAAAAGTCCACACAGGCTGATTCAGTTACCTTAGAACCCATTTGAAAAGATGAATTATTCTTCTATACTATGTTATTACAGTACCATCTGTGATAATTACGTTTTAAAAGTCGCCACTATACATGGCTAAACTGACAAACACGGTCTAAATCTCTTTGATTATATCTCTCAGTTATTTTATCTTACTTTCACTTTCACTAATTTGCTTACTTGCACGAACTTGGTCGTCTATATATATACAGTTCTCGACTGAGACCTAGAGCTTTCTAAAAACTACGAGATTAAGATCTAACAATACTCACTTCAAGCATTGAGAAAAAAATCAGAAGGTTCGAGTAGCATGACGTCAATTCACAACAATTGAACTACACAACAAATGGTTCGTAAACAGTTACGTAAGCAAAGTTGTCATAATTATCGCATCTGAAAATAACCTTAACTCTCACATAACATAAGTTAAATACTACTTCCATATTAAATTTAGAATAAACAGTCGTGTATATCTAATATTGGCGAACCAGTAAAATAGCCAACCACATAATTAAATTAACATTTTTAACTTTCTTTGTGTTCCTTGTGTATTTCATTAATCTATAAAAAACTTTATTTTTAAATAATTCGAAAAACGCGATCTCTTTTCCCAAGTAAACTTCTTTTTGTTCAATTTCATCGTGCTACGTGCATATTTTATTGATAAAAACCTCTGAGTGAAGAATTTCATCAACCACAATATAAGTTGTCTGTTTACACTTTCATCTCAGTCTTTCTTCTGGCAAGAAACTCCGTGAGCAGTAGCCTATGGCTAATGAAAAGAAAACTCAGAGAGTCCGCGTACATTCCATTCACGCAGCTGTCCAGGATTCATGAAACTGGAAATGAGTCGATGATGGCCTAGAGTTTGATGGAATTTGCTGGGCGTATGCAGTTTAAACGAAGAAGGGTCACATACTCACATGATTAAAGCTGTTTTCCTAGGATGTTCCGGGTCTTGCCTTTTAACCGATTTTCCGTTTACTTTCTTGGACTAAAATGGCACCTAACGGAACTAATTACCTTCAGAAAGAGCTTTATTGGCCAAGCACATCCTGGCAGTCCCTTTTTATATTGTATATGTTGTCAACACTACCCCCATCGGCTCCCGACTGTCTCTTCTCTGTCAACTGAATTCTGTCACCGGCGGAGATAACCACAATTTCCGCTAGCCCAGCACCTCCAGTGGTAATAGCATTACACATCTAACTACGGGTGTGACAAATTTGTTTTTATTATGATTCATTGAAAGCCTAGTAACACGGTTATCAGCAACTTAAAGTTTATTTCTGGCATACAACACATTACACACAACTAATTTAACTTATTTCTGACTGTTTACCACAGTAAAAATCCTTGAACCCAAATTTTTTATTTGGTTCCAGGTATTTCAAAATCTCTGTACTGTTTCTATGGTTAAAAACTTCTAAACTCTCCATTTCCTTCGTTAAGTGACGAAAAGTACTTCACTATAAACGTGTAATAAAGAACATTAAAAATATTGATTAGACATAACACATACACAGGTTATTGAATTAATTACATGATTAACTGCCGTAGACATTGGAACACCATTGGAGGTTAGCTGAAACTATTACAAAAGGTCAAGAGGTTACCATTAATAATCTGTTTATCGTAGCTGCTCTCCAATGTTATATTTCTGTATATACTTGAAACAGATCGTTGGTTGGAGGAGGAGAAAATGCGTTCTAGGTATGGTATTGAAAAGCCACTAAGCTATGAATCAATGCACAGTGAAAGCTTTAATGTACGCGAAGAAACTGATGACGTCTCAATGCAACCCATATATTGACTGTGTTATTATTATTTATCTATAAATCTCTACATTCACTTAATTAACACCTTACCCCTAACAACATTAGCGTAAACGTTGCTCAAATAATGCAATCTCAAGAGACATTATGTAAACGTTAAAATTTATTAGAAATTCCGTGTTTTGCTAAAAAATAGTGGTGAGAAGAACAAGTTCTGGGGTTTGTCAGAATATAAAAAACGACAACAAATAACATGATGATAACTTTCAGGAATCCTGGAGTAATTAGATGACAATCCATTATAAATACATTTAAAAACTCCTTAAGATTAAGTAATTAGATGATAATCCATTATAAATACATTTAAAAACTCCTTAAGATAGAGTAATTAGATGACAATCCATTATAGATACCTTTAAAAACTCCTTAAGATTAAGTAATTAGATGATAATCCATTATAAATACATTCTAAAAACTCCTTAAGATAAAGTAATTAGATGACAATCCATTATAGATACTTTAAAAACTCCTTAAGATAAAGTAATTAGATGACAATCCATTATAGATACT